CATGATAATTCGCGAGAAACGTGACTAATGCATAAGTTTCTATCAGTTGGCCCCGTTGTCCAAGTACATAGGTAAATTGTTTTCAATGGCACAATTTTCAAATCAAGGTTAATACAATTGTCACATTAGAATATTGTATAATAATTGTGTATGTAAATTAAGATTTGCAGTTCTGGCAGTGTTATTTTGCACGCTTCGGTTTTTATGATATTGTGACACATTCCTAAAGATTCATGTCAACAGTTGATGCTTCGCTCTAAAAATACCCACACTGCATTCAAGAACGTGGGACACCCGACCAGTCATAACTGAAATCAGTAAATAATTATGAAGCTCAATCACAGACAAAACAAATGAATAAGAAATCGTTCCCACAGACTAAACAAAAATTACTTTAAAAAGCAAAATCTCAACTTCTTACGATTGTCGCGTTCGTGCATGCAAATCTTACCGCTTACCCATACCCACAAATGTACATTATGTACTGCGTGCCTTCCGTTCTAGAACAGTTAGCAGTTAGCACGGTCTCGAAGTCACAAGTCACAAGGCCCTATTGATTGCCGGGTCTGCGTGATCGTGTCTCAGAAGACGCACAATACACAACTCACATGTGGCCGTGGTCGTTATGGTACATAGTTAGTATACCATACCGACGGAGACGACGAATGTGCCTCTGGTCGGTGCGGTGTAGTGAAACACGTCGAGGCGATTCGCGGTGATCGGTGCTCAGTTTGCTCACCGGCAATACAACACAACCATTTCCATTCCCTCACTCAGGGAACTCGCACGTTCGTCTGTTGGTTGTTGGTTGCACGGTGCACGGCTCGCAAGCAGCACACCATCAGCACACGCAGTTGATGGTGCGTCGCAGCACGCTGCCTCTGCCGTTTCATTGCGGTTCCGCGTTCCGTTTCGCTACGACACGTTGCTCAACCTAGAAACATGCCACACATGTTATTAAAAACAATTAAAAGTTAATACTACCCAAGTGTATCATACGACGTAAACTGTGTTCTTATCTGTGAAACATTCCGCACTTAACGGTGATACAAAGATGGCTATAAACAAATGAAGAACGCAAAGATGTAAACAAATCAACGAAGAAACACGACAGCCAACGAACAAATTCAAATAAACGAAAATATTAGAATAATACGGTGATAATAACAGTACAGGGATCAAAAATTTAACGAAACTTAATTTACTATGAGAACTAAAACAAAAATATATCGGTTGTGTAGTGTGTGTGTGCGCGAATGAATCAACAATCGATTGTGAATTGTTTTCACGTTGAATATGTTGAGAAATTTTAATCTCGAAGAGACGTATCTTCTTTCTCACCATTGTGCCTGTCGTACATGCGGTATTTTCGTCTTGAACGTGTGTTGTGAAACTGGTTTGTTCGTCCTTCGCGCGCGGCCTTTGCCTGCCTTTTAGGGTGCGGTTGGGGTAGGCCAAGACACAAACAAAAAACACTTAAAATAAAACGCGAACAAAATAAACGGATTAAACCGCTTTCTGTTTGTAAAACAAACGGCTACCGAGCGAGGAATTTTAGAAAGTAGACTGTTAAGTCAACTTCGTGTTGCACATCTTCCAATAAGAATAAAAGTGGATTAATTGTATTCAGAAAAAAAGATTGTTACACGTTTAGTTTTTGCGACATTATTTTGTGTGCAAGATGAAGAGCCTCAAAGCAATATTCCGCAGGCAAAAGCACGACGATTTGAGCCGGGCATCTTCTGTTTCCAATCTTGCGCCACCGGGTGCACAAGACCCTAATCAGGATCATCTCAATCACGTACAACCACCGCCTACAAAAAAGAAAGCAGGTGTGTTGAGTAAAGCGCGGAAAAGTTTGTCCAAGGATAGACTTGATGATGAGGGTGGTTTTCATGCGAATGCTGGAATAGGAAGTACTTCGGGGGTACCAAGGGATTCAAAGCGCTGCTCAGTGAGGAGTATTGAGATCGTCGAAGAAGATCCGCAGCTACGTGAGCGAGTGGCTACCATGACCGCGGAAAATGCTCAACTTACATTGCAACTTGTTGATCATCGTGGGCAGATTACTAACTTACAGAAGGAGATTACTAGACTAAAGGTGATTATTATAAAGTTTTGTTTTTTTGTTGCTTTATATAACCTATATTTATAACCTCAGATGTATCAGGAGCAGAATTCACTGCAGATGGAGCAGCTCTCCGATGAGAACGCATCCCTCAGGAATAAGCTAAGAGATGTGGTGCACTCGCCACTTTCGGACAACGAAAAACAACAACTGTTGTTAGATTCACATCGACATCATAGCAGTGCGCCTGCGTCAATAGCTCCGAATGTAAGTTCTCTCATAATTATTACTTCCAGGAATATCTGAGTTATACAATAAATATAATTACAGTTGCATGGATTAAACGTAGAGGAATCAACTGCAACGGACTGGGATAAGCAGAGCACGAGCAATGGAAGCGAAGTGTCCGTGGCTTGCCTCCAGGACAAGATAAACCAAATGCAGGAAACGCACTACAGCACCAACGAGGAGCTTCAAGCGACGCTGCATGAGCTAACCGACTTGCAGAAACAGCTCGGCGATCTGCAAACTGACAACGAGCGATTACTCGATGAGAAGAATTTGATGTTTGATTCTCTCTGCCGGCAGACTGAACGACTCAATGACACTCGCGATGAAGTGGAGTCCTTGAAGCAAGTGTTATATCGTGAAGAAGGTTCGCATGCTAACCATGCCAGTTATGAATCGGCTTTGGAACGCGAAGCTAAACTAGTCGAAATGCTCAAATGTGCTCAAGAAGAAAGAGAGATGCTGCTGCTTAAACAGGAACAACTTACGAGCGAGGCACAGGATGTTCGTAGTAATTTATTAAGAAAAGAAGAAGAGAATCGATTGCTAGGAGAGCGTCTTCATAATATTGAATCAGCTCTCGACGGGAAGAATGCTGAGCATAGACAACTTGAGCAAGAGTTAGCTGCAAGTAAGGATACAGCTAACAGTAGACTTATAGAGTGTGATAGGTTGAATGAGTATCTGGAGAATGCAAGGACGAAAATAAACGAATTGGAACAGGAGCGCGCTATGAGTGATAAGTCGGAAGCGGAGGAGTTGTTAGACAATGCTCGCAAAGAGAAAGATGCTCTTGAGGCCGAAGTTGCAAATTTAAAGGAGCAGGTTGCACGCGGAAAGAACGAGATGGAAAAGCTCAAGGAACAAGTGTCCGTTTTGCAGGAGGAGTGTAAGGTTCTAAGGAATAATGCCAAGTGTACCAGGAGTGAGTTGGAATACAAGGTGGAGTTACTCACTGGTGAGAACAAAGCTCTCGGCGAGGAACTGCAGAGATTAGAAGAAGCTGCTAATGAACTACAGGTAATTGATGGTTATGAAAATAGGTTGTGTTGTAATAAATTTTATATTTAGGTTCAGGCTCAATGTCAAATCGAAGATAAGAGGCAATTGAGTTCAGTGCTTTCCGAAACCCAGCGCAATATGAGTGAGATTGAGCTTAGAAAAATGGAATTAGAGGCTGCTCTTAATGAAATGAAGAAATTGCGGGATGTTGAGGTAAACCAGAAATGTTAGTTTACGTTTTGAGATTATCTTTGCTTGTGTTTTGTTTTTAAAGATGGAGGAATGGGACAAGTTCCAGAATGACCTGCTCACCTCTGTGCGAGTGGCGAACGACTTCAAGAACGAAGCCCAGCAGGAGCTGCAGAAGTTCGTCATGGAGAACAAGGCGCACCGCGAACGCATCCGGGCTTTGGAGGCGCAGCTGGAGAAGACGTCGAAAGGTAAGACCGATCAAGTTACGTCGTCGTTGACGTCCGCATGCGCATGCCCGTCCACTTTAACACTTAACACCGACACTACTGATTCCACTGGCTATCCTACTCTTGGTAGTCGCCGAGGGTCCAACATATCCGCTGCGCATATTAAGCGGCTGTCGAAACGCGACCGCGAGCTCATCGAGCACGTGAATCGCGAATATGCCAAAATTGACCTGGAACATCGTAGTCCCGAAGATCTATCCCCCGATGAGTTGGCAATCGTTAAACTCAAACAGAGTTATGATCGGCATTTTGGTGTCACTCATCAGAAACCCACTGCGAAGAAACCCCTGGAAGATCTTGCCGTCAGCAGACCTTTACTTACTTCGGTCCTACAGAATCCTAACCTAAAAAGTGTTGCGCAGGATGATGATGTGCTCAATGTTGAGAGTAGGGAATTTTATGAAGTTCCTCGCAGTCAAAGTATGGGTGATATTAACAAAATGGTTCATGATGAAAATTTTCAAGAGGCTTATCTACAACGGTTTCTGGAGAAGGAAGCTAAGACTAAACGAATTGACCAAAAAGGCCCACTGCGCGTTAGAAATATCAAGCAAAAACACATCAAGAAAAAGGATATTGGATTGCCAATTTATAACTCTGTACTAAATGACGACGACTTATTGAAAATCATCAAAGACGATAAGGTTGCTGAAATATGTCGTGAAGAGTCCTTCGAAACTAGGTATATGGACCCTGTTAAGACAAATGGAATAGACGACATGGAACAGAAGATTAAATCCTTAAAACGTTGGACGGATACCAGCGATGACAAAGTGTTTGTATATAGTTTTCAAGATGGCGCCGTTAAAGTACATCGATGTGATACGTTCAATGATGAGAACAAGCAAGGACCTGATACGTTAAAAAGTGAGATAATGGAAAAGCGTGTGAATAAAGAAACAAAAAGAAATCCAAGTTCGTTGGAGGATATAACATTCGACTTCAACACGTATCAGAAGTATAAAAATGAGCAGAAAGAACGTGTTAGTAAACTAGATATGGCGAAAACTTCCTTTATCGAAGATTTAGTTTCCAAAGATCAAACACCCCCAAAAAATGAAAATAACCCAGAGACAAATGATATACCTTTGGAGGACCTGATTGATGAGTGCGAATTATTCATACAACATGAAATGGATCATACAAGTAGAAATTTACCAATTGTCCAGGAAGGTCCTGCCGATTCTACGTTTGAACCCGAAGAAGAAAAGATAGAAGTCGGCGAAGGTAACATGGAATTATTTGATGATCATGATAATTTAAGTCAACAAAACGAAGAAGATGTTTTGTATGATACATTAAATAACGATAGACATGGTCATCCATCGCTTGAAGAGGAAATTAATGATTGTGTATTGTTTCTATATCATGAAGTTAATGATGCGACTAATAATCTGTTAAATATCGGGATATATTCTGAAGAAGATGAAGGCGAATATGTAAAAGAAGAAGATAATGAATTCGAAGATTATATCAACTCTGAACAACTTTTTCCTGTAGCGGATGAAGTCGACCAATTCTCCGAAAATGCACAAAACTATGAGAATAATAATGGCTATGATAGCTTCAATAATTATGATGGAGATGAATATGAAGACGAGGCCGACATCATGCGGGTTTACAACTCGCAGAAAAAGGAGTTGGAAAAGGTTGATGTTGAACCCTCCGAGTTGCAAAGTCATCATGTGCGTTATAAGTCTGTGGTTAAAACTTTGAAGCTCATGTTTAACGAGCCCTTAAAAAGGACAAGGCATGATTCTGATATTGTTTCATCGGATTGTGAAAGTGACAAAAATACCGAGGCTGGAGCATCATCTGAAGAAGAACAAGTTTGCACTCCTCCTGATGATGCAGAAAGGTGTGTCCAAGAAGACCACATTGATGGTAAAAATGTTAAACTGCTTGATTGGGACGAAAAGAAATGGACGTCGAACTTTCTTGCCAATGAAGTGATTTGGAACGAGTACAAAAATAGTGCAGCGAGTTTCCTCCGAAATTCACTTCGGTCGAGCGGATGGCGATCAACTTTTGATGATTATGAAGCGCCCTCTATTGATTTGGATAGTCTGCCAGTGTCACGTACAAATTTTGACTTTGACTTTTACGAATCCACCTACGGCGGAATGGATACTCCCGGACCAGATGAACCCACAGTCGAAACTCCTTCTTCAGTGGATCAAGTATCGCAAGGTGCGATACCACGTGTACAATCACCAAATCCCACACCCGAAGAAAAAGAATCAGAACCGGAACCAACGCATGAAGTCAATGAATTTGAAATAGAAGAATTGATTGAGTCAGAGTTGGGCGCGGACGATCAGAATGGTGTTCTGGCCGGTGAAATAAGCGGCGTGAAGGAGAAGCGCGATTTATTTTCGAACAGCACCGGTGCTGTTCATGTCCAATGCGCCACTCCCGTGTCCATTCGCAGTTCTGAAAAGGTTGCTGCCCTCAAACGCCGTTTTGAGGGTGTGGAATTTAAGGACGCGTTGGAGTGTGGTCCCACCTTTCACGATATCCGCAGTAAACCGCGACGGCCCGTTGAGGAGGTGCCTAAAATAGACGAGGTGAAAATTAAAGTAGAGACTCTCGATGATTCGTTGTTGCCCCAGCAGGAAGGCGTAGCCGATGCGGTGGAGGAGGCGCATGCAAGTGGCGAAGTGCATTCTAGTTACGCGCTCGCAAAGAAAGTGTTCGAACAGGGTAAATAAAATAACCTGCGATGTCGCCGTTTTATAAACAGTTTACACGAACCTATATTTTTGATTGTATACCGAATAAAAAAGAAATATTTTTATTGTGCACTGTTGTGTTCTGAAACAAATTAGATTATTAGTGTTACTAGAGGGTTGAAGATAAACGTAAAGAAGGTAATAATTTTGAACTTTTTGCTTTTTGCGGGGGATTCGCACGCCATCTTGTTGTTTGTATTCGTCGCTGTCGTTTGTTTACTTGCACACTACACAATTTACACGCACAATGGGGATTTACTAATGTTTGCTTTTGTTTTGGTGAAGAATTTGTTGCAATTTTTGTAAGACATCGATATTTATTGGGTTTTCTTTACAGGTGCTGATCAACCAGCAATTCGACCAACTAGCTTTCCAATTCCGAACACCACCTCTGAAGATTTAGCGAATCGAAGGCCCAGTAAAGTTCTCAGTCGACAGAGCAGCCGTCAGAGTGTAAAGTCTCTAATAGAAACCATCGAAAACGCTGGTAAACCGATTAGCAAATCTAGTAATGGGTGTTCTCGAAGCAGTTCATCTTCCTCGCTCAATTCGTTGACATCGTACACATCAGAGGGTAAAACTCCTTCTAGCCCACTGTTGACCTCACTCAAAACACCTGAGTGGTTGGACGCTAGTGGTAAAACACCAATGAAAGAAGTTCCTAATAAGCCGCCTTCTAATCGAGACTGGACGAAAGCTTTCACTGTTAATGGTACATATTGAATTACACACGTTTCTTTATATAATATTTGATATTTAGATAATTGTTTAGGTAAAACCGACTCAACAAAAAAGGAGGAGTCGCTTCGCGATAGCATTCTGCAGACTACGAAGAGTCTGGACTATTCTCGAAGAAATAGTTATTCGGATGCAAGTAAGTTAACACAACAAAGGTTTTAATTTTTCTTTAATTCTTAAATTTTCAAGGTGACAGAAAGGACCCTTTGAATAGTCTTGTAAAGAACGGAGGGTCGAAGCGCAATGCGCTTTTGAAATGGTGTCAAAACAAGACCGTAGGCTATCGAAACATTGACATTACCAACTTTAGCAGTTCTTGGAATGATGGTCTTGGCTTTTGTGCCATTTTACATACTTATCTTCCAGAGCGCGTGCCATATGACACGCTCAAGGCACAAGAAAAGCGTAGGAATTTCTCAATTGCGTTTCAAGCCGCTGAGAGTGTGGGCATTCCCACTAGTTTGGTTAGTATTTACATCGCCACATACTTCTATGTAAACTATAATGCTTATATGTTGGTTATAGAATATAAACGAAATGGTTCAACAAGAGCGCCCTGACTGGCAACAGATTATGGGCTATGTGACGGCGATCTACAAACACTTTGAGGTATAGAAATGTGACCGGAATATGGACTAATCAAAACTATAAATCAAAATGGCACCCATCGAACAAGTCTCTGAATTATACAAATCTATATCGATCTTTTACAATTTTCTACAACGATGGATAAGAGACCTTATTGTACTTATTCTTTTGTATCAAATTTATTTATTGCGTACGATTGTTGCTAGTACGCTTAGATTATTATGTATCTTCTAGTCTCACGCGTATTGCATTTTTTTTAAAACAAATGCGAATTAATATTACTTTCCAACATGTTTATGTAGTGTGGATATTTACATATTACTCCGAACTTGTATGTCATTTGTTAACGACTGCGGCGGCAATAAAACCGTTATTTGTGCAATTAATTTTTAATTTAATGTGACCTGATTTAATAAGATGATTTAAGTACGTTGTTTGTTATGAAGGTTCTTACAAGCGTTTTGAACGTGACAAGGTTTTAATGTAAACAAGTTCGTACAATTATCTGATGGGAATAGGACAATAAATACATTGTTCGAGTGCGTTGGGTTAAACTACCAGGTACTAAATATTCTATCAGCATGTTCAACAACGAAACCAATAAATATTACACTACAGGAACCTTATTGATTTGCCCAGCCGGTGGTCTACGGAAAGCAATTTTTGAGAACATGAAAAAATATACAGCTACTGGCGTTATTGCACAGGTTATTAAATACGGGATTAGATGAATCTTTCGAAACTATTCTGAGTAAATATATAAAATTTAGTTTATCACCGAAAGTGCAATTCCATATACAGTTACGAGGAAGATGCACAGGATGAAAGTGAAAGGAATGTATAAATAATTAGTTTTATAACACAGATCCTTTTAAAAAATAGAATATCATTATTTTTTTATATATCTAATTGATAAGCATGTTGGCGGTGGCAATTTTTGCAACCAATAATTTAAACAGACATGACTTACTAAGTTGACTGATAAACGTGTTTACTTAGATTTCATGAAATTGTTAAACGTGGCAAAGCTAATTAGCAGCTTGAAAGAATTACGTGATAGGGAAAGAATTTTTGTTTATCGCTAGTTGCAAAAATAATTTTACTGTAAATTATTGCGAAATATTTTCGCAAGAAAATGTTCCTTTAATTTATAATATAACAGTCAGTAACGATTAGTTCACCACACTGCATGGTACAAAACATTCTTCCAAAATGTTCGACAATGATACCAAAGAATGTCACACTGGAGGATCTCCATTTATTTGCCCAGCAGGAGGCCTGGGGAAAGCAATTTTCGAGAACATGAAGAAACATGCAGCAGCTGGTCTCATTGCTCAGGTTGTTATTATTTTGAAGTTAATTAGTATTTGTTTATAAGAATGATAAATATTGATATTTTATCAGATTGAAGGTGAGACCGGATTAGAAGAATCTTTCGAGGTAGCTCTGAGCAAATGTATAAAAATTGCGTTGTTTCTGAAACAACAAGGAATTCAACCTGGTGACGTCATCTCCATGTGTTCCGAAAACACACTAAACACTTCAGCAGTTCTCTTTGCTTCACTCTTTACGGGAGTCATTCTTGCTGCAACTGATCCGAGGTTTTCAGCTGATTATACTAAAAATATGTTGGACATGGTCGAACCCAAATTAGTATTTGTTTGTGAACAGTCTATTGATCTCATTACTAATGCAACCAATGGTAGCAATTACGCCACCAAGATTGTTCCATTGTATGATCACGATTTGTTGGAAAATGTACCGTGTATTTTGGACAGATACTCGATTGAAGATATACAAGATTTTCAACCAATCTACGTGAAAGATTTGACTACAACAGCTTCCATGTTGTTCAGTAGTGGATCAACAGGTTTACCGAAAGCGTCCTGTTTAAGCCACAACTCTTTGGTTACTGATTTCGGTCTGAATTACAGCTTATTTACCAAATACAATTTACAACGTATAAGAATTCTTGGCTACGCTTCACTGTTTTGGATATCCGGCTTCAATTATATTGTGACTTGTTATTATTTTGGTTTCACCAAAGTATTGCTCAGGAAATACGTGGCTGAAACAGTATGGGATAATCTTCAGAAATATGAAGTACGACGTTTAAGTACTTGTTAATACTTCAGCATATTATTTAATAATATTTTCCAGGTCAACCTTTTCTTTTTGTCTCATGTGCACGGACCTTGCATTCAATACCTACAACATTCATTGCCACATTTAAAAGCTATTGCAATATTATCTGGAACTTTACCTTCGGTATATCACAATTTGTTGAAGCAAAAAATGCCGAGCATTCCAATAATGACTGGCTACGGAATGACGGAAATTGGTGTTGTTGCAGTAAATAATGGCAGCTACGAACCTCCAAACGTATTTTCACTGTGTCCAAAAGGTTCCGTCATCAAAGTAAACTATCCGTATAATATACAAAACCAATATTACCTTCATATGTTTAAGATTGTTAATCCAGAAAACGAAACTTCAATGGATCTTAACCAGATTGGCGAGATTCGTATTAAAGGGGCGAATCAATTGATCGGATACTACAAGATGGACAGCAAGGATTGTTGGGATGCGCAAGGCTTTTTTAAAACCGGAGATTTGGGATATCTTGATGACAACTACCGACTACACATAGTAGATCGCATTAAGGAAATGATTAAAGTTGATAGCTATCGTATAGCTACGGCACCAATTGAAAAAGTCTTAAAAGAACACCCAGCTGTTCTGTTTCCTATCGTTGTCGGTTTATGCGCTGTTGGTGAACGTGACGAACGAGCTTTGGGTGTTGTTGTGCTTAAAGATGGTTTCTCAGCGTCAGCTGATGAATTGCTTCAATTTGCTAACGACAAATTGGACGATTTACATAAAATTCGTGCCGGAATTCAATTCATCGCTGAAACTGACGTTCCCTATACGGTCACGGGGAAGATTCATCGAATTAAAGTGAGACAAATGTTTAAACATTTAGTTTAGTTATTTAAGGAGGTACCTGAGTAATTATAGGTATAATGTTGTTCAACTTATGGGAATACGAGTAAGTACCTATAAGAGAATGAAATAAAATACAATTCACAGTTTCATCGAATCGATTATCGTATAGCAAATTTATAGTAGGAATAATTTTCAATAAATACAGAAGTGGTTCATGAACGACAGCAATATCACAAACAATCATGATATAGTATTCCGTACATAATGTGGTTAGAATGAAATATATATATATACTAGTTAACCGGGCAAACGTTGTTTTGCCATATAAATTATTTCAAGTTTCTAGATAAATTTTAGTGTAGACAAAAAGTAACTTACTTATTATAAAAAATAGGGGTTGGTGATAAGAAACCAAAAATTTAGGGTTGTATGTATATTTTAATGCCACATTAAAAAAATACAAACAAAAAATTTCGACCAAAATTTAAAAAAAATTAAGGGTGAACAACCCTTATCACTTAAAGATATGAAGTTACCGATTCTCAGACCTACTGAATACGCCTATAAAAAATTTCTTTGAGCGGGATAAAAAATGATTAAATTACTAAAATGGCTATAAAGAAATAGGGGTTGGTGATAAAAAACTAAAAATTTAGGGTTGTATGTATTTTTTAATTCCACATTATAAAAAAAATAAAAACAAAAGAATTTGTCCAAAAATTTAAAAAAAAGTTAAGGGTGAACAACCCTTATCACTTAGGGGTATGAAAAATAGATGTTAGCCGATTCTCAGACCTACTGAATACGCATATAAAATTTGGTAAAAATCGGTAAAGCCGTTTCGGAGGAGTATGGAAACAAACACTGTGACACGCAAATTTTATATATATAGATATATATATATATATAAGTACTAGTACCTATACTAGTGAAGTTCACCTTACTTTTTAACCGAACTGGCCTTCAGAGTACGGAAAGTACGTCTTCGTCACTTGTTAACCGCTCGTTTTTTCTTAAGTTAGTGGCATGCGCCCACAACTTTCTGAAATGAGGATGATCTCGTGTAACGGGCTCTCGCCGTTGTAATTTTTGTCAATATTTGATGATCGACTGAAAACGACCATACTGTTTACTTTTTTTATATCAAAATTCCAGAACATTCTTATTGGAATTAAAATCTACCCTAAAATTGCCAAATTCATACAGTGTTTTAAATTTACGTTATATACCTAACGTAGTAGCTACTTTTTTAAAGATTTAGTTTTGTAATTAAAAAAATAATAATAATACCAGAGCGAGAGAGAATAATAAATGTTATCACACTTGCAAACAAATAAAAAATATTTTCAATGTATTTAAATGTATAAATTCATTCTCAAATTTTAACTACTTAAGTTTTCATGTTTTTTTTTGTAGTTATGCAGGCGCAAACTTACTTTTTGTCAGGATAATTGTATAATTGTTAAGTTAAAGTGAAACCGACTATTGAGAAAAATATATAATAAAAATACAACACACCAAACCAGACTGTACATAACCAAAAACATATCGTATTCAAGTACAATTATAAGTATATATCCATAATTTATTGCGATTTCAATAATTTTACACGTGTATAGATAATAATTATAAAAATATGTAGATAATATTTATAAACACCCTGTTTGTCTACTTATCTTGGAATGTAAACTATTCGCACGTGGCGTCATGATAGCAATTTCCAGGAAAATATTAATAGGTACATTATAAAAACCCATGGTTGAAAACATTAATTTTTTTTTCGGCGGTTTACACGTCATAAACTTGGAATTTTCCTCCGTGCACCAGCGACCAGCAAAATGTTCAGTGTTTTTTGTATTTACTTTCACGAAAGCTTTGAAGAAACCTTTTCTATATTGTCACATGCATAAATTAAAAAGAAGGCACAGCATTCATTGTTCAATTGGTTAAATATGTACGTAAAATTCTGCCCGACGAAAATGACGTCACTCTGGAATGCGCAAATATTTGTTGTCCTTCGTCGGAACTGTCACAGATTAGTATGGATCCACTCTTGAAATTTGGTAACGTCGGTAAAAACAAAATACTGCGAGAAGTCGCACGTCGGACCATTAGCAATACTCATTGATACAAGCCCACGCAGATACCAACGGCCATTATTCTGCATGATGAAACCACCGCCACTGTCACCGTTGCATGGTCCTGAACCGTTCTTATAACCTATAAAATATTACTGTATAATTTAGTGGCCATGTTGGTAGATGAAAACTTATTTTACCTGCGCAAAATGTGCGGTCGGAAGTGATCTCCCTGAAAGTAAAATGTGACCGAAGGCATTCCTCTTGCGAAACGACAGGGAATTGAATCTGCTTGGGTTCTGGTGCGATTTGGTTATCGTTCTCGTTCCTGCCCCAGCCTACCACAGTCCCGGCACGGCCTACAACTCGATCTAGTGAAGCATCACCACGCCACAAACAGATAGGGCGAATAATTGTGGAGTACTCAACGTGGTCGGTGAGAACAAGCAATGCTAGATCGCCGTCGGCCGACGTAGACTTGTAGTCGGAGTGAACCAGTATACGCTCGGCACCCACCCATTTGGATCCGGTGGTTTGCGTCCATTTATGAATATTATGTTCTCCAATACGCATAAATATCTGATCGGGAGCTAGTACTTTCTCACCATGCTTCATGCAATGCCCAGCTGCCAACAAAAATATTCTCTATTTTAGCAGCTCTAAAATATTTAATAAATTATAGTAAGTTATACCTACCAGTAATAACATGTCTATGAGAAATAAGATTAGCACCACACACGAACTCAGGTCCCAGATTCTTCACTTGGAAAATTGCGACTAACCAAGGATACTCTCCGCGTAGAACGTCACGTCCGTGAGCGATCAACGTGTTAGTGACTGATGTAATTCCACACTGGTCATCGTTAACACCAAACCCACCGCGATCGGGCAGCCATGGCAGTTGTTGTGTTGGTTGTGGTTGTTGTTCCGGTGTTATCAGTGTGAATTCTGTAGTGGACCTAGTAACAATTGGTGGGCTTGAAGGTCTAAAATCAATAGTTGGATTCATTGGTAGATTTGTTGACTCTGCTGCTGGAGGTGGATTGAATATCCTCCAATCAGGAGCAATGTTCAGTTTCAACGTATGATGTAGATTTATTGTTGTCAAAATTCTCACAGCTTTAACTGCAATTAAAAAATTAATGGAAATATTGTTTAAATGAATTGATACTCAATTAAGTAACTTACTGTCAATAGGTGGTCCTTGACAAATTAGCATACCATTAAGCATGATCTTCGTGACCTTTGGAGGATAGTTGTACCATCGAGGAAAGTTTAATCTATACATGATCGGCTTACGATGGATAATATTTTGTATAGTTTCCTCCCGTGAAGCAGCAAGTACCAAATCCCCATTGTAACCCTAAACCGCCATTTAAATAAAATCAATCTACATTTTTAAAAAACAAAATAGATTAATACCTACTTGAACTTGATTACCAACGGATAACTCAACATGTAACTGAATGGTGGTGTCATCGGGACAATCTACCTTCACAATGCCGTACTGCAAGACGCCATCTTGCAGGAAGTAATGAAATATTTCCGGACATGGTGACGCATACAAATTATCTCCTGAACCAAGATGAACTCCAAAAAGCGACTGCGCTGAGGGGATGAACAACCCCACTAACACCACCAACCACATTTGTCTATACTTTCACTTATTTTATTTATTTACGAATTAACGCCATTTTCTTGGAAGAAATTTGCTGATTTGCACCTAAATGTTATTTATTGGTTATAACAAACGTGGTTTCTCACTTATTTGATTTGCGTTTGTTTTGAATTTGTATCGGTGATGTAGATAAGATGATAAATAAGATGCGAATATGCGATTCTTATGAACGGTGGACAGCGAGTGACCGCAGTGTTTGCACGCGCGGTGCATCGCTGACTAAAGTCGAACACTTGAACTTGACTGGCATCGATGATGAGTTTACGAGATTTTACGACACTTTACGACATTGTATGTTAACGAGGTGCTAAACAGTAAAAAACATTCAAGAAAATTGATACAAGTAAAGCCTAATATAACAATTCTCTTATTATCGTAGGCAACCAAACAAACACCGAACAAACATTCCCCAAATTTACTTTATGCAACTAAATGAGCGATAAAACATAAATGTTTTACATGTTTGATTAAATGATTGATTTCATTGTTACAACTGGAAATTTCCACATTTTAATGTATGCATTGCTGGAGTACTTGTAAAGTACGCGACCTGTTTGCCAATTAATTGCTCTATGCCACGCGAACAAATCAACCGCACTGTTATTAACGAGCTGGGCATTTAAAAGTCAAAAACACTTCAACCAAACTAGACACTGCCAATTTACGGGTTTTACGTGTAGGCGTGGTTTGATATTCATACTCGTAAATACTCAGTTTGTTTCTGCGTTTGGTTCATTGATGCCGGATGTTATGACATCATCACTAACAATTATATACCTTTTCTTTTCTGATTGCAATCAACAAACCAATTTGGTTTTTGGTAATGTTCCACACATATCACAATTAATCATGATAGATATTGGAATTCCCGCAATCCGGCAGTGTTTTTATTTTTGTCTTTTTCTTACAACTCATGATAATGTATAGTAATCGGTAAACGATTGTTTCACTCGGGTCGCGACTTTCGACCAACCGGTTATAGCCATACAGTTAGATGATTATTAGCATGATCTGAGTAATAGAGCGGCAAGAATTGCAAACTAAGTAACATCCTGTATTATGACGAATTAACAAACTCATAACCCGGAGCGGATATTTTTTCCTATTGCGAATAAGCATGTATCTTAACAAAGTGTCATCGACAGTCGTTTGTTTGCCGCGCGGCTCATTGCTGCTAGTTGATTCGTCGCTAGTCCATTGTTTCATCCGCCATGAATACCAGTGCATCGATGTTTATTTTCTGGTGCATCATAGCATTTATTACAAGAGTATTGGGAGATATAAATTGTGGAGGATTATTAACGTTGAAGAAAGGCTCCTGCTCACCACAAATCGTGTTAACTATTCCTTCCGATGGCTCTGGTGTTTATAACTTTGTTTTGAATACATCACTACCGATCTATTCTCATGAGGTTAGGCAACTAAACATACATGTATAAACATATCTAAATTTGTTGTGTGTATATTGGGTTGCAGAATATAGACGTAGAGCTTGAGAACAAAGAAGCGGTCCAACGAGGCACTGCCAGTTATCTTGTTTATGTTGCTTCACACCCTTCCTGCGTGGATGGACTACGAGTAACACGAATGGTTTTTAATAATCGAGTATTGTGCGAAAATGAGCCGTATAAAGGTAATAAAAATGTATTCATAGTTTTATATTTGACATTTTTAGGTTCTTTTTGCAGTGAGTACTAAACAAGCAGTGACAAAATTCTCATACGAGAGCACGCATTATGGTGAAAAAAACAAAATTACGCATAATTCTCTGGGACAAGTTCAAAGTCCACCCCAAAAGCAACGTCCATTTGAGTTGAATCTCTGGAACAGTCTGCAACCGCCATCAAATATTGGCAGTGCATTAACTCAAATTCCAGGTTATAAAGGTCAAGGTTTACCTCAAGGTCAAACTGAAGCATTCCCAAACAATCCATTTCTTTCTTCTCTGAATTCCCCTCCATCATCGACATCATTACCATCATCACAAACAAACAACCAGATAAAGAACCCATTTACCGACCATATTACTTTAGATAACAGAGGCGTGTTTAATAATAATCCATTTCTAAACGGCCAATTATCATTTACCACGCCAACTTCTTCAGTAATAACTCCCGAACCAACTCCTGTAAACATTGACACCATTTGTGGGCTTTCTACATACGCCCTAGTACAAGGCGGAAGTGACGTGCAACCAGGCGAATTTCCATGGCTAGGAGGGTTGTTTACTCGAGCAACCAACAAGTATCTATGTACTGTCAATCTTGTTAGTCAACGACACGCCATTACAGGTAAATACGTTATTACTTGTTGAAATTGTATATAGAATTATTTTTTAAATTATTTAGCCGCACATTGTTTTGAATCACCTGATGAAGCTCATATCTATGGAGTGTTGTGGGGTCATCCTAAGAGTAGGCGGGGGAATAAATCATACGCACCCCTTCGGGCAGTGCAGATACATCCCAGTTACAACCAATCCGCTAAGCACGATGTCGCCATAATGACACTGGCTGACTCAGTGATATTTTCTTTGCAACTTAAGCCTATATGTTTATGGAAGGTGGGGAGAGCAGGTGGGCTAAGAGTAACAGGTATGGTCGCTGGATTTGGCCCTGATTACACCGATTTGAAGAAAATAGAGTTTCCTATTGTATCTCAGGAAACGTGTTTAGCCAGTAATGTCATTTTTCATTTCGTAACATCGGAGTTTACGTTTTGTGCAGGTTAGTTCAACTGGTAATTGGTTAAAAAATTAATAAAGTGTTATTGTGTTATTTTGTGCTTAAAGGAACGCAGAAAAGTGAAGAAGGTCCTTGTAAGGGTGACAGTGGCGCCGGTTACATGCAATGGGTGGATGATAGATATTTCTTACGAGGACTGGTTTCACATAGTCTCAACGCAAATGGCAATTGTAACTTGAGGGAATATATTATATTCGCTGATTTATCCAAAGAGATTGCCTGGATTAGGCAAGCAATATCGTGAAATAACTAGGAATGTTATTTTGAACAGGAGTTATCGATTAAATTGTTAACGATAGTTAACTTGAACTTTTTTATGTGATATAGACAACACAATAAAGACGTATCTATCAATTTTCTCATTCCCATTTATTCTTGATAAATCTATGACTCTGAATAAAAAAATAATGTGTCAACAAATCAAACTACGTGTGAACGATATAAACATAGTACGGAAATATCTGATGATGTTATTTTTATATCACTTTTAATTTACAAGAAATCTGATTCATTTTACATAAGCCACGATGTATTTTCCGAACATTTTTTCCTGTGAAAGATTTGTCTTGATTTCATTCATTTACTTCATTTACTTGCATGTAAAATAAGTAGCCTACGATAAGTTAACAAAATTGTAATATTCAAGTAGTAAATAATAGTGAACAGATTCCTTCAAGTTACCAACATTGCGCAACTGCGGAGGTTGCCACAAGATGTAGAGAAAGCAGCATCGGAAGTGGCCCAATCTGAATTTTCTATTTGCTTTGTTTTACCCTAGATTGGGAAGACTTTTCTTTCTTCCTATTTGCTACTATGATTTCATTATTGGTAGCTTAAGATTTTTGTCATTGCGTGTTTAATTTACGTTTCTCGCACCTCCAGTATCCTCATTGCCCTTTGTGTTTGTTTTTCAAGCTCATTCCTACTATGCTTGTTAAGAAACAGAGCAAATAATTTTTGTAGATCCTGAAGCAACACGAATCGGATTTTTAAGGACGACAAGCAAGAAATCAGCATTGGACCTGAACCAGCTATCGGTAGCTACCTATCTCACACGAAAACGGAAACTACACGTAAATAATCCGAGCCTTAGAGCCAAGAAGAATGATGATACATGGAGAATTTTAAACCAATATCAAATGCATCATCAAACAAAGTTCCTGGACCTCATAGAGAAAACAGGAGTTAGAGTCCCACCGAAACTGGTTTTTCAGCTGAACCGAGCCCGAATTTTCAGCACGGGCCTCAGTTTGGACCGAAACCGAAACCGACTCAAAACTGTTTTGAGATGGCAAGTGGTGATCACGAGTTAGCCGCGAAGTTAACCGTACGACGCACGACAATTCACGAACACTGAGTGTCGACGTGGCCAATTTTTGGCCGAAACCGAAACTGAAGCCGAAACTAGATTTCTTGGCCGAAACTGGCCGAAACAGAAACCGAAACCAAAGTTTTGGTCGGTCACTAACATGAGTATTAGGTGAATAGCACAACAAAACATTCAACAATAAAAAATTAAATTATTTAAAAAAAAACTGTGAATCGGAAACTTAATCAATTTAAAATATTTTTTCGATTACATTAACTTTCAAAATTAAAGATTTATTAATATAAATATCAGTTTTTATTGATGAATAAAATATTTAAGCATGTGAATCAGCAACAAATAAATACTTATTCTGTGAGCTTTTCAATGAGTTATTATTTTTGTTTAGGTAAGCAGCATTATTTTTCTTCCGGCCAGTCACAAACTTGCATTTGGGGATCGAAGACTAGTCCAGGAGGGCAATCTTCTTCCCAGTTTCCATCTAATCCACAATGACAAAATTTGGTGTTATCATCTGGATACGGCAAATGCATATTCAAATTGGGATCATGACCAGCACACACCGTATTGCAAACTTCATCACCAGCAGCAGCCAACACCAGTGACATGGCCAGGCATGCAGCCACAATTAGGAGAACAGCTGAAATCAAGAGGTAAATATTACAATAAAATCAAACAAGTTTAAGGTTGTATATGAGTACATACTTCTCATTTTTAATATGTTGTATCACTTGACCTAACGTGTAACTAAATCGGGTTAAATCAGACTATACTTGCTGAAATTTTTATTTTGCGCTTATATACTCAGCTTTGCTGTAATCAGAGTTAATTAAAACAATTAAATTTGGCTATATTTCGTCATAAAAAACAAACCACTTGACATTGTTAATTACTCTCGATTTTTATCGTTATCGGTTTCCAAGAAGCAAATTTTAAATCGGACGTGCTCACAATTTTCAAGTGTGACTTATAATTTATATACGTATGTATATAAATTCCTTTTTATTTTTAGATGTTTTATTTTCATTGTCTTAGTTTACTAGTTAGGTGAAAATTAAAAATTTAGAATACTACAAGTAATCTACAAGTTAAATACGAAAATACAAAATGCATGTATACCATATTAAGAAGCCATCTACTAATTTTGTAAATAAATATAAGTTTTTACTTTTTTGATCAGGGTAGTAGACTTCAAGGTAAAATTATCTCGACTTGACAGTCACGTGACTATAAAATATAACGTCTAGATTGCGCAAAAATGGGCAATAAATTAATGAAGATTGTTACCAGGCTCTTTGATTATCCTATCAAACGCAAGCCAATCTGTTTCTTCCGACAGGAGGATTTCTCATCCACTGGAGACCCTTTGCCCAAAGACGACGCCAGTCAACACGGCCCAATGAGCGAGTACGATAAGCTGGTGCAGAGTTTCTATGCGCGCCTACTTGAGCAGCGTCGAGCGCACATGGAGGAGGAGGAGAAAAACGAGTACCAAGGAACGAAGGGATCCACCAAGTATCCCGGCTGGGACGATATGACCATCGCCAATTTACATTCGCTCTTCCTACTCTTCGATAAGAATTTGAACGGAATGTTGAATTACGATGACTTGTGAGTACAGCACCAGAAAAGAGATCTGATGTTCTATACATGTGATTCAATTGTTTTATTTTTGGTACAGTTCTGCTGTCTTGGAGAGCTTGGGAGATGAGACCAGCAATGATTATAGAAAACAAATGTTTGACGATATTGATCGTGATATGGATGGCTGGATTACATACGATGAATTCCTAGAGGTATAATTTATAATATGGTATTTTATAAATATGTATCTACTAATAATTTTAATCAAATAGGTCATCTATCATTTCCATCCGCAAGAAGGCGATACTTTGACGGGGCTCGCAAAGTTGTGCTTCGACATTGCCGAGAATATCAAATTTGTGAGCGCCTTGTCTGTTGGAGAACAACTGGAATATGGCTTATTCTAATATTTTAATATTCCTGAGATTTAAAAATCTCTGATTGTAATCAAAAGCATACGTCGACTACATTAATTAATTAACATTTTTCTGTGTTATCAAGTACTTATATATTTATATCTCTTATCATTTTCCAATTCTCAGAAGAGAGCGTTTTCAAGTGTTCTGAAGTGTAAGGTACGGCTGAGGTGCACCTTTATTCATACGCGTGTATAATGAGTTTTGGGAACCAAAATTTATTGTGTTTCCTTATAGTCCAGTCAAATTAGCTAAAAAACTAGCTTAAGCTACATTAATTTCCATTAACCTGAAAATTTATTGGAATATTAAGTAGGTACACTTAAATATAGGTTTGAAGCATCAAAGCATGATATAAGTATGTAGTTAGTTTTAGAACAACAAATATCAATAATTTCGCGCATGGTATTGGCACGTTGATAGATGAGAATTAAGAAATTTAAACCATTCTATTGCTGAAGCGGCACAATGAAAAACCAAAAATATTAAATTCACAGTAAGTATGAGCAAATAAACATTGCCTAAAAAATATTCTGGATTTTATTAGCAGTGAGGCTTTAATGACTTTTAAAGACCCTAAAAAAAGGTTTTCTGAATCCATAAGTATGTAAACAGTTTCTTGTAGCACTTCAAAACGCGCTCTTAATTTTCTGCATTGAATTGATATATCAAATTTTTCTATTTCTTGAAAATTCTAACTTTGTATTGCGTCAAACGAACTATAACAATCTCTTTCATCGGCTCGTTGGTCTAGGGGTATGATTCGCGCTTCGGGTGCGCGAGGTCCCGGGTTCAAATCCCGGACGAGCCCAATTCGTTTTTGACTAAGTATTTTAGTTGCTAGCCAATGGTTCTTATTGAAAAAAAATTAAACGTTTGAGAAAGATTATAAAAGTTCCTAATATAGTATGAAATAGCTATACTAATATATTCAGCGCAATGGTAGATGTCACTCCACATTTTAAAATGTATCGGAGTATATTTATCTACATAGACTTGTGCAGATATTGCCACTATTTTGCATATTATGTAGGTATATTATATTATTCTTTAACTTCGGCATTTATAATGTGTGATATCAAGTTCGAAAACCAGATATTAATTTTTAAGGGGGTAACTTCTAAAAAATAAATTCATCCCACCAAAAACAGCTCGTAAGCAGCTTGACAATTTCCGGAATAAAGCAACGGTCGAGTACGTAAACAAAATCTTCTATAATAGCCGGAGGCATACACCCAAATTTAACGCACGGTGAAAGTTGTATTCGTAACAACATTGCAGCCAAGAGTATACTCGTATATCAATTAATAATTGGAATTTGAATAAGTTTTTTGAAATATTTTTTTATTAAACTTAAAATTATGTCGGCTTCAACTACTTATACCTCCTTGAATTTTGAATATTCTTCGACGTATCGGCATCTTTACCTGGAAATTTCCTCTTGCAGCGTTTCATATAATATTTTGATGAGTATTATTTGAAGAATTTGTGAGTTATGTATTTTTGAGACTATCACTACCATATTTACATTGGCTGTAGAGCAAATATTAGAATTAGTGTTAAGAAATTTATATACTGAAGCAATAAAATTAAAAGTTTATGAGCTTAAAGATAATGTACTTTTTGTGGTTTTAATCGATAAACAACATTAAGTTTCTAAATACTCAAGGCATTAAGAACGTAATACCGCAATAACAAAGAATAAGAGTACAGTTAATGCTTCTAATGCGTCCGTAGTTCATTCCAAAACCAGTTACTGATTTTGGAAGATAATTAACTTATTTCACAACAGCCTACATTTCATTTTATTACTCGCATCACATAAAATATAAGCGTAACGAAAAATTCTAATGTATGAAATGTTCAATTGGATTTTTGAAAAAATATTTTCTTAATAATAATCTTGCGATGAATGACAAAACCTTTTTAGATGTTTTTGCGCCATTAGAAGCAATAAGAACGTTAATTTTATTAATATTGACAAGGCTAAAATATGCAAAAAAGTTTATTTTTAGGACAAGAAAAATATGCATTTGATGACCTCGGTTATTTTTCATCAGCGCGTAACATTAAATTTATTTATAACATCATTTTCTCAATTCAATAATTACAATGCGTCATGCCTTAAGCAAAAATAAGTAAACACATAAAAATTAACGTGGTAAAAACATTAATTTATTTACGCATTCGTGCATAATTTCATCGTCATAATGATAATGAAGTGATGGCGAGAAAGTCAAAGGTTTTCATTGTGCCTAGATGATTTTGCATACTGCATTATTTTTTATGCACAAACGAACTTATGAAAAGCAATCTGACACCATGGCAAAGTTGCACATGTCATTAAATTCGCGCAAAACGTCGCGCAAATTAATTATTTATGCGGGTTTTTACCACGGGAAATAAAAATTCATTATCATTTCTTACAATGTGTTAGTGAACAGAGTTTACTTATTTGTGTGATAAAACATCAAATTTTTAGTAGAATTACTTAAATTGCTTTCTACGAGCAAAAACACCTTAAAAATCACTTGAATTTTAATCTCACATAATTCAACCTAAACATTGCATAATAAAGTTTTATTATTATGTGAAATTTGTAGTATCCCACTTGCAGTTTGGCTCTCGATGTGATGATAAATGATGCAAATGGAAAACACGCAATTAATTTGAATCAAGTCTGAATAGCTCAAAATAAACAGTATAATAGCGGCAAACGTCCGCCGCCGGCTTCGTCAGTGTCAAGTTCAATTCGTTGGTACCTCTCTCCAGACTTCGAGTTTATTTACGAATGTATACCACTTATTCGGCCGCTCACGACGCATTTTGCTTTCCATTTCGATTGGCTACGCACCTAAAACGAAAATAAAAATTGAAAGTAACAATCAACAACATTCGTGTGTGTGTGTGTGTTGATAGTGTGGTATTAATAGTGCAAACAAATGGCATCCCTGGCGCCAAAAGGACCTCAAGAGGAAGTAGTGGAACCGGAATGGCAACATTTACCTGATCGTGTCGCGAAGGCCTTTGAAGGGAAAACGGTTTTTATCACTGGAGGAACAGGCCTTGTTGGAAAAGTCCTAGTGGATAAAATACTACGATGTTGTCGAGGTGTAAAGAAGATGTTTTTGCTCGTTAGGGCCAAAAAGGGCAAATCAGGAATGGAGCGAATTGACTCACTGTTTGAATCTCCAGTGAGTTATATACATATTTTTTAATTTAGTTTTTAATTTTAATCAAAACTTCAAGAAAGTCTAACGGTTGGTTCTTACTTAAGTCAGTTAGCCAACAGCCAAATAATGCGCACGTATTACATGTACATATTATATAGTTTTGATAGAAGTTTCAGAAACAGGTCGTTATTTGCCTAATTTCGTAAAAAATTTCAACATCCAGCTGTTACAAGCCATATGATACATGTGAACTTGTGTAAATTAGCATTTTGCCATGACATTTATATGAATACGCATTGATTGCACAATTTTTTACATAACATGTAAAGAAAACTAAAAATTTCTATTTTGTATATTAATGTTTTAGCTTTTTGACCTCTTGAAGAGTGATAAATCGAACGATTTCCGAGCTAAAGTATTTCCGATCTCCGGTGATGTCTCTCTAAAAGATTTGGGTATCTCTCATGAGGATCGTAAACTTCTTGCAGAAGAAGTTAATATTGTTTATCATAGTGCTGCCAGCGTACGCTTCGATGATCCATTCAAGAAAATTGTTATTATGAACGTTCGAGGATGCAAATACATGCTTGAACTTGCCAACGAAATTAAAAATCTACAAGTGAGCCATTTTACTGTTAGAAGAAAAATTTTTTTTACTCTTTTGGTTTTATTTTTAGTTGTATTTTCACGTGTCAACAGCATATGCGCACACACGAGAAAAAGTCCTTGAAGAAAAAATGTATGATCCTCCAGCAAACCCTCATGATGTTTTGAAATTGATTGAGTTGCTTAGTGAGGAAGTTCTTGATACGATTGCTCCAAAGTTAGTTTCTAACAAAATTTATTTGATGTCAGTTTTAAAGTGTTATTTGATGCAGATTAATGGAAGGCTATCCAAATAGTTACGGCTTTACGAAAGGTTTGGGTGAAGCACTAGTTAACGAAGAAATCCGAAAAGGAAAACTACCAGTAGTTATTATACGGCCATCTGTTGGTGAGTAAGATAAGAGTTATCCAAAATAACAGAAATCTGTAGCTCAAAACGGACATTTTAAATACTAGCGTATCTAATTTTACAACATTAATGCGTTCCTGTTGTGTCGTACCATATTGTCCTCAACGGTGTAAAATTAACATATTTACCATAGAAGTACCTTTCAGCATAGGTATTGATTTCTCACTTTTTAAACATCATATTAAAAACCTGAAACAGCCGATTTTTGGAATTTTGTATGTAAAAGTCATGATTTGTGGTGATAGTAGGTATATGCATATATAATTTTATTTTGACTAAAAACGAACATAACCTGAACAGAATATGTAGTTCTCCTTGACGCCACTGCGCGCTGGGGTTCGATTTTGTACCTAGTTCTGAACACGAACAATTTTGGAAGAATTTAGTTTCAATCGCTCAAAACAACCACAAATGTGGTTCGGGCTAAAATGAAAACCGTCTAAAATATCAAAAGAATGGTGTACGTAAATAAAGGGGTAATTCTATTTTTGTTACTTTTTAGTAATTCCATTGTACCGTTATCCTTTGCCTGGTTGGTCTGACAACATGAATGGCCCTGCAGGGTTACTCATTGCCGCTGGCAAGGGAGTACTTCGCACGATGTATATGCCAAAAACAACTTACGCCGATTTCGCACCTGTTGATCTCGTGGGAAACGCTCTTTGCGTAATTACCTACGCCTACTTATCATATCCGTATGTAACTACTTTATCTCCGAAACCTCTTCTAAACCAAAAAATTAAACTTATCATTCTAGAGAAAACCGTAAAACCTGGAGCGTAATAAACATTACCACATCGTCAGTCGTAAAATTCACATGGAAGGAAATCATAGAACTGGGTCGCCATCTTGTGGTAACAAAAGTACCGTTTAACTGGGTACCCTGGTATCCAGGAGGAGGCGTCACCACCTGCTACTACCACCATACAATTAATTTTTATTTAAAACAAATCTTGCCTGCCATCATAGGTGACGCCATTTTATCATGTCTACGCATTGAACCAGTGTAATATTAGCATTTGTTTTTATTTGTATGAATGTAATAATTTATAATAATTTTGTAGTTTGATGAAAATCCAACGACGAATCAGTAAAGGCTACGAGGTTTTCCATTACTACACATCTAATCAATGGAATTTTGTTAATAAAAATTTATTGGCAATGCGCGATGATGTGTTAAACGAGCGCGAAGCTGCTGTTTATATGCTGGACGATGAAAATCTAGATATCGAGAAGTATTTCTTGAATTGTATGATTGGCGCTAGGCGGTATTTAATGCACGAACCGGATGAAACCCTACCAACTGCAATGCGTCACATGAAAGTGTAAGTTCAGGTTTTATAATACATAATATCTTATTAAACGTAATAATTTTTGTTTTCGTTTCAGAATGTACGCAGTGGATAAATTATTTCAAATTTTGTTATATTATTTAGCATTTTGTTTTCTGTACAAGATCTACCAGTCTATTTTTTAAGGTTACGTTTAATGTTATGTGATTGTACATACTAAGAAAGACATTTGGTTATACGCTCTATTAGATCTGTTTAATTTTATTGAATTATTTATGAATCGAAGTTTGGTGTCAAATTACTCAGACGTAAAGTTACAACTTTTTTGAGTTTGTATGTAGAGGTACAGGTCCATTGTGGTCTGAAAAACGCATTCTAACCTAAATCGAGGGAAACGATGACGCTACATTAAATCATTCAGGTTATGTTTTTATTCAAGATTTGAACCGACCAGTCAATGCACCACATTTATCTTCGGAGACTATTCGGCAAGAAGCACCAGCAAATATTTGGCCAATTAGGAACCTATTTGTTAATAAGTTCAGTAAAAGTCAAAAGTAATAATTTAGACAGGAGTAGCGAATATGATGCATAGATAATATAACTATATATCTAATTTTTAAGTACGCCGTCTAGATTTTTACTTGCCAATTTTTGTATACGTATCGATGACAAATAAGAGTGTTGGGAAATTTGTAGTTTTAGATTTTAAAAATGAACATTATTTAGTGTGTAACAAACTTTCAGGGTTTTGGATGTTAAGAATTTGGAAAACCAATAATTTTGTACTTGCTTACCTACTTTTATCGAATACCGACTACGAGTACAGGAGGAATGAAAGTTCTTCTGAACTTGAATTACATGAATCATTTATTTACTTGAACTTATGTGTAGATTGTAAAGATGATGAGCAGTTGATGATTTTGTAGTGCAAATTATAATATACAGTAGAATCCGTTTATTATGACTCGAAGGAATTGACCAACCGGTTATTATGACGTACCTACACTACCAAGTTTGGATATAAAATTCTGTATAAAAATAGTCATATAATGACTTCGCTTACAGTGACATGTCGCTTATTATGACCCATTTTAACAGATTATGTCCGGTTATATTGACCAACATGATTCTTTACACCTCCGGTAATGTTCGTTGATACCCGACGACGTTCGACACGTGGCGAACTTTTTATATTTATTGACATTTCTTATGATTGTCTTACTTTTATGTATTTACTATCGGAATGACCAAATGCTTAAATAATAAATATAAGCATTCGGACAAGTCGTGGTACCTTGACCACGACTTAATCCGTATTTTCCATTAATCCGAATTTGGCTTCATTCGATAGTAATCTCAATGCTTTTTAAAAACAAGAACCGCATTAAGCAATAATTCAAATGTTTTGAAACCGAAGAGGCTTCGAAAATCACAAGAAAATTAATTAAATGAAAAATCAAAAGTTACAGATTACTTGAAGTAAAAATACACTTGTATGTGTTATAATGTGCTGATTACGTGCAATTTTGATTTTGATTTAATATGTATGAATATGTACATATTTACATAAAAAGGGATTTCATTTCACAAAAACGCTTTGTATGACGTCCGCTTATTATGACGTGTTTGTCAATTCCCTTCGATGTCATAATAAACGGATTCTACTGTATATATATTATCAAGTAAAATAACTTTATATCAATACATGTATTTTTTAGTACCAATAATAATCCATGCTTTTTTATTGCTAAATGACGACGCTGCAGAACAAAAAATTTGGCTTAGTTGGCGTAGACAGCTATAATTCACATCCCCGTAAACAGATGCTCTATCGAAGATTTCACAATTTGTATTCCAATAAATCAAAACCATGATTTTGGCGATTTCTTTTACAGGCAGCTAGATATAAGATATTACTTTTTATCTAGGTATTACGTCTCTTAATTATCAACTGATTAAGTGCAGCTAATTTCTTCAACAAGACCACAACTATCAATCTTCTAGTAATCTTAACATAGGTACATTAATATTCAAACTAAAATTAGCCATGAGAAAAATTCTTATTATGTAAAAGAAATGTCACTTCCTGTGAAATACCAGCTGATGGCTGAAAAAAACTATTAACACAATTTGTCCGTTTACATTGACGAACTCAAACGGAAGTTCCGCCACAGCACCATGTTTATACAAATAGATCCCAACTAAAAACCATCTTTGTATTCATCGCAACCATTCAATTCCCATTTCGGTCAAATTGTGAACTAATTGTGCGCTTCCGGATTGACCAAGCAGCTTTAAGCCGTAAAGAATTCACAAATTCAGCACGATTGTGTTCTAACTTTAGGTACATGCTTATTTTATTCACTCAAAATCTTACAATTTCACTTCCGTTCGGCAGCGCATTGAATCCGCAATAACCTGACTTTGAATCACCCAAATAAACAACATTATCCCATAAAGAAGTAACATGCTAAGTAGTAGAAATAACCATAAAATGTTACCCTTAGTCATAAACACATTGAAAGCTGATTTTCTCATCCGGTTTTATTAACTTTTAAAATGCGTTCCATTTGGATCTATTACAACCGTTCAAATTGTTTGTAGAAAGTCACGTATTCGAAAACGCAACGTTTACAACCAATCCAAAAAATCATAAACCTGTGCGACAATAGTTTTGGGTCTTAAACTTTTACAACCCTTACCGATGCGGCCTAGCGGTTCAGTCGTAAACATGCGTGAGCCGGAAACATCTGCTTCGATTTGGATTAATTTAGCTCGATTCCGTGCATTTCGAGCATCCGTTCGTGTTTTTGTGCTATTCTCAATCGAAGATCACTTCCTGTCCACCATACAATGCAACCTGGACCAATATTTACATTAATACCACCAAAATATAGCTGCGAATATTTTTAGTCGGCTATAATTGAACGTGTGTGTAAATATATCCTGTTCGTGTACGACCCCTTCAAAGGGCGCGTGTTGTACCCCTTGTACATTGCGGAAATCGAAAAATAGAACGGAAAAGGAAACGAGCTGGCTGGCATTAGATTTTTAATTCGTTGTCGAGCACAATCAATTTGAATATATAACAAACCGACGCATTTCCGACCGGATGAACGGAAGCTACTATTTACAAGTAAACATCTGACTATTTATTGTCATATATGGATTTGTTTCTTTGTACATATACACGTCCAGCTATGTTATTGTAGTTTTGCCGAAAATAATACCAACGCACAACTGCACACATATTGTCCTAGACCCGAACACCCAGTGACCGGAAGCGTTTACGACTCGATGAGACGTGCACAAGTGCGACGGTTTTGCGAGTCATTTTTCGATGGGCGGATAGATTCCAGGAAAGGTCAATGAGGAAACCACAGTGTTTCGTTATTTCGACTGCGTTAATTCTCGCGCGGCGCGTTTGACAATAGTGGCATTATTCGTGCGACTTCCGGTGCAAGGTCGCCTCGAACGGAAGCGTCTGCTTTCTGTTCGATCGTTATATTAATGCTTGTAACGAATATTAGGAACATTAACTAATGAATTTAATCTTTGTTTCTTAAATACCATTAAATGTATTTTAAAATTAGCTGAGATATGTGAACTTTCGATTTTCTGCTACATAAAGTTCTTTTTCCAGCTATTGTACCTTAAAATTTAGAAGAAATATTAGCTGATGCGTGAATAACGCGTGCCGCACAACATACAAGACAATCATTTGAAGAGGTTTCGGGCAGTAGCCAACAGCTGACCTCTCCAGCTGTTCTATTTTCAAGCTTTGATCCGGGTACAAGAGCAGATGCTAGGTGGTTGGACAATTCATCTCACGTTCAAATTCTGTGCATTATATTCTTATCTGACTGTGGATTAACATTTATGTCCGTTATGCATAACATTCCTAATCCATGAAGTGCATGAAAATCTACAAAAGCCAGCAGAATAGAAGCCTGTGTTCTTTCAAATTATTCGCACCATTTTTTAAAATTTCCTAGAATATAACAAGCAGGTAAAAAGAAAAAGATGAAATCAAATTCGTAATCGGCAGGTGTTAGATGCACGCGACCAGCTGATATTACCCACAACGGATGCAGAGCGTGTTAGATAAAACGAGTCGTTTGCCCCACACGACCTCGACCTTACCCTCGGCCACTAACGGAAACATTTACCAAATTACCAATTCCTGATCGTGCCCCGTCTGCTCTTGAATCATTGGAATGCATTGAAAACGCCGACGCGCCGGCTGACGAACATGCAACACGAGACTCACCAAGCGACGTAAACAAGCGGTGGGGGAAGTAGCTTAAGTACGCTCTGCACTATTCTCGAGCTTCAGTTCCAGTTCTGAGTTTGTTGTTGCGGTTTGCCCGTTGGAAGTGTTCCGAAGTGTTTAAATATTTACGCGTATTGATAAAATGGAAACTGTGTGCCAAACATCCCAACCAATGGATTTATTCATTCCACCACAGATGATTAAACAATCGAAACCAAAAACGAAGATATCTACTAAAGGCTCCCATAATAAATTACCAACAGGTATGAATCGGACTTATTTTTAACTTAAGCGTAGTTTATTAATACTGATATTATTATCATAGATCCGCGACAATGGAGCAGAGAGGACGTCCATTTGTGGTTGCAGTTAATTGCCAATGCACACAATCTTCAAGACGTCAAACCATCCAGGTTTTCAATGAATGGGAAGGCATTGTGTCTGATGACCCCGGCAATGTTTGCGCAAAGGGTGCCAATAGGTGGAAAACTGCTTTATAGAGATTTTCAACTTCGACTAACCATTGCTGTCCATTCTGGTCAGCGTTGAGTTATCATCATTGACATAAACAGCAACTTCGAAGTTGCATGGATGATCGTTTCGAAGATATCGAGGAATAAGTCAAAGCGTGAGTACATAACTTATATTAATATTTATTTTAGTATTAGAAATAATATTAATTATTGTTTGAAATTTAATCAGGCTGTGGGCGATTTGACGTTGATAATCCAAAATGAGCAGCAAACTATCAAATGAACAGTATTAGGACAGCTGTGATTTGTTATCATAGACCTTGGACAATCGCAAGATTTAGTCACATGAGTTACCTCATTAAATGTTTCTCATGGAAGCATTAAATAATTGAAATACTACCAAAGACAATTTTGTAAATACATCATTGTATTATATGTAGTTTTTAGGATGTGAGACTAAAATTACTGTGTACATAATTTGACTATTGTTTAAAATTAGCCGAGAAATAAAGAAAACAGAAAAATATCTAATTTGATTATTTAATTCTTAATTTATCTCAATTTTTAAAAATTTCAACAAGCTTTCAAATAATGATAATTCGTTAATGGTATGATTGCCTGTGTTTAGAACGGAAGTATCTAACCGGAAGCGGACATAGCAACACACTGCGTACTTGTTTATTACCTTGTACCAATATTTTTTTCAATTTTCAAGTTTCCACCCAATTTCAAGTAGGATTAAATTATTTCTGCGTCGATTATGAATTAATGCTGCAATTACTTGTTAATTATCGAAAGTTATGTTTAAGTTATGCGATAGCACCATGCGTGATTGTTATCTCGCACGAATTAGCCCGAGTCTCGACGTCGTTCGGCCACAATAATGAGAATAAGAATAGGAGTTATAAGAATAAGAACGCGAAAAGGAAACGGTATGTTAATCGAGCAAGTGCTTCCGTTTCCAATGCGGCGTCATGGCGAGCGGAAGCGGCGACCACCATCGCAGACAATTTGTGAACGATCATGTTTCACATAATACAATAATAACAATACAATCATACAATACAACAATAACACAAAGCTCGAAAATATTATCCATCACAAGTAGTACTAAAAAGTTCTCTACTTTTACTTTAAAATACACAAACTGTGCATAGAATTGTTAATTAACGTTTAATGTTTCCTGCCAAATTCTCTTGATTTATTCGAAGCTGTGATCAGCTATTATCATTCGGACAACTTCCTAAATTATATGCGCTGCAAATTCGTCAATGCACGAGAAACACTCTAGCTCGGGCCATGTTTCCACCTGAAAAAAAATTTGTTTTTGTCTTGACTGAATCTTTTGCACAATATTGTCCGCCATCACATGAATAGCACAGGTAATAAAAACCAATCATAGGAAAATAAAATGTCAAATGCATTATTTTTTTTAAATATAAGTATGTAAAAGTAAATATAAAATATTGTGACGTTTATTATGTACGATTTCATGCTTGGTCGAACGCATGTTATTTTATTCTCAGCATCTTGTTTACTTGACGTCTTACGTCGATTTAAAAATGGTGTGACGCTAATCCCTAAAACAAATTTTACGATTTGTGTCTGCTTCCCAAAACCCAACTCATAGTTTGTCTAACGAGTAATAAATCGACAATAAACTATTTCCGGCCCGGGGCTACTCTTCCAGTCACGTCCGATTATACGTGGGCCTATTTGTCGTCCAACCGGGGTGCACAATCCACACAATACAACGAAATGTCAATACGGGATGTAAAATCGAATGTTTACTTTTTGGCCGTCACTAGCCGCTTCCGTTTCAAATATATGACGGATTGTGGTATTACGCCTGTATTTGTTTGACAATGTCGTAGGCAGCATCAGCTTCGGCATCTTTACAATAACCGGATTTACGATGTTTCGAAAGGTGCGATGAAAGTCGGCTACTGAACGTGCCGAACACAAAAGATGTCGGACGGATGGCGTGGGTGTCAAACACCTGTTGTATACTACTGTTTCTTGGCCAATAGGACAAGTGCTGGATGGATGATGACCATATCAGGCTTTGGGTCATACATTTAAATATCTAATATTCAAAAAAGGCAACAATAATTTAAAAACGTTAAATCTTCAATAATTCAGCAACATTTAATTATTTCACAAAAACTTAAATATAAACAGTTGTAGGATCCTAAACCTGATCCCATTCTCCAAAAACATTTAAAAGAGTCTTATTTTTAAACCCAACCCTAAAAATATAATAATCTCATCATTATAGCTCATTAGTTAGTTTGAAACATTTCAATGAGCCAAAGTGCTTTTTCCATCCGCTATTTCACACCATCAAAAATGGAAAGCGTGTGTGTGGTTTTTTTTTAATATCCAAACTCCCGACCAAAATATGAAACTATAAACGATGAGCTCGAGTGCCGGATGTTTGCTTCGTCTCGACTCGCCTACGAGCTGCACCAAGACGGCGTTTGGCGAACGCCCTCCGCTTCCGTCGCAAGTTCTCAACAAATTCTTAATTGCGAGCGCGGTCGGGAGCTATTTTCGAGCGCAGTGGAGGAGCGGAAGCGCGCACTGCACTCCATTATATGCTAATCTCGCTTCCGCTTCTTGCACAAGAACAACCAGCTACAAGTAATACAAGTTGTACGCGTTACGTAATATCACAATGCGTCTTACAAACGCAAATAACGTAAAACAGTTGTAGGATATAAAATTACAAAATACAATAGTTGTCTAAATTAAGAGGACTTAAATATTACAAGGTAATGCGTGTATGAAGTAACCAGTAACAGCGTTGCAATAAGTATCAGTATAACAGTCTGTGAGGTTCGAACATCTTTGGAATGACGCCACGACCATGTGCGTTTCATGTTTGACTAGCCCCTGACATTGGAAACAGTCGGGAAACGACGAATGTATTTAGGAGTACTTGTGTATACGTAGTGTACTTTAAGGGTAGTTGTGCATTGCGGCACTCAGTCGTAACTGAAAATCTCGGAAAAGCAACTTCCCGCCGAGGGGGACCCGATGCACAAACATGGACTGAGACATTAGACACAATGCCTTGCCATTCATTAGAAAGCGGGAGCGATGGTCATCCATATTGGGTAGATTATGTACTGTTGCCATTTCATCTAACCATTGCTGAACATTATCACGTGTCCATCTTCTTGGATCTGCAATATAAAAACAAATGTAAAATTTGTATAGGTATTTTAAATACTTGCTGAAATGATTGAATTACCTTTGGGTAGATTAGAGTCACATTCCGCTTCAGAATTTGGATAACTTTCAAATTCTAAGCGGCGAGCTGCAAACAGAGCACCGCCACCCGGATGGTAATGCTGGAGGGTTGCCTGCATGCTGTCGCCCAGACGTCGTCCGATGGTCTTCCGAACGTAGTGACCTATTTTGTACTCGAACTATAACAATAAAAACAAATACTTGAATAAAATGTGCAAATTTAATATTATTTGAGTGTTAATATCATATCATTGAAACTTAATAACTTGAGATGTAATCAGGATGTATTTCGTCCATTATCAATCGAATCCTTTGTGATTGGCTGTGCGCCAGGAAGAGGATATCCTTTGCTTTTGTGCGCTTATAGCACGCGGACGATTTTGTTCATTTTGCCGATTCGAAATATATGCCAACCGGCGCACGATTGCATAATTAAATACGCGCGCGTGTATTTGAAAAGGTTTGACAGATCGAAAAATTGCAGCCCGGCCCGGACCGGACACGGCGGCGACCGGATGACGAACCGATGGCACAGGATATCCTATCATAATTATTATGGGACGACACACACTTTTTGCTATTTTCAGCAAGCATCTAAAATCGTTTTTTCATGATGAGATTAATCGTTTTAGCCAAATTCGGGATAAAAAGTATCTTGTTTCATGTGGTTTTCGACCTTCGGTGTGCGAAGTCGTTAATCTTTCAAGTCTAGCGTCGCGACGATTGCGGGGTCGTTAGGTGGCGAGCATGAAGAGGCACTTCCGACGTGGCGTAACGCATCCATCATGAAATTATTAACGCCAATTAGTGGCGCTGTGCGCACCTAAAGCGGCTAACTAAACGCCTATCTGCGCTTCTAATTGCTGCACATGTGCGTCAATTCATAAACACTCTAGTCAAAATTCCAAATGAATATTTTTAAATGTTTAAAATCATTGAAATAAACATCCCGGAAAGGGGCAGATACGACTGAGGGTTGAAAATAAGTACAACATCCTTATATTCCTTAGACGATACAAAACGTTGGTTTCCTTTCGTTGCGTCGAAATAATCGTGGGCAGGAAGCAACGCCGGCGATCTGAATAGCGCGCATAATTCCACCGCGACGTTCGCGAAGCTTCAAGAAAAGATTTGAGATTCGAATGAATGGTGAGAAAAATCCACGCGGCGATGTGAACGGAAGCGCACACCGGCACACGAACCGAAAATCATGAGCGCGGAGCGAAGAAGCCGCGGGAATCGCGTCTAATTATCTAAGTATTATAAGTATTCTAAGTCGTTCCGCGTCGTGTGCGCCGACTTCCTACTTGGCTTCGCAAGAAGTGCTCACAGACGCAACGAAATGGCAAAGAACAGTAAAGCACCGCTAGCCAACAATATGATTTCTCAAAATATAAAATTTTAGCAAAAATAATCATTTAATAGTAATCAATAAACTTATTTATCTTAATAAATGATTAAAAATATTAACTTACAGTTTTGTCCTTTAAGCACATAAAAAAAGTTTAATTATTTGTTCTAATTGTGATAACTGCTGCGATGTTTATCCAAAAATGTGAAGACACTCAGATAGTAAACAATTTACGAAACATAACACTTTGCGATAGCAGACAACGAACCGAACTGAAGGAACGTGTGCGATGAAATGAGCGCGGGATCGACTCACATAACGTGCAGCTGTTCCAACAATGGGAGCAACAGATGCGCGCGCCACCTGTTATGATCATTAATAGTATTACTCAGTGATACCTCAATATCAAAATAAAAGCCATAACCAAACAACTATGCTTGCAAATCGAAAATTGCGGATTAGCGGATTGATTCTTGTTTAATCTATATTACAACGATAAAATAAACAATCTAATATATTATTACTAAAACTTTTAAGTACAAGTACAGCTATATTATGAATTTATAAAAATAAAACATTTTTGTCGTTGCACATTTTGCTGTAATACCAAGTTTGCCATTAAATCGAGTAGCGTTGAATCAATGTGAGACTACAGTTTTAAATAGTTTGTAAATAGAAATTACAATGAAGGCCTGATATAAACAATATAAATATGTGCATGCAATAATGATGAGAATTACTAGTTAGTGTTCTAATTTTTACAGTTTCAAATATCTCGTGCATTATTGAATCGCGAACCGCCTCATTACCTACATTCTGTATTCTCTACGCGCTACGCGTATTTTGATCCGACCTGCAAGGCACGCGGTTAATTAAACATCTCAAAGTTCGGCTTTAATTTGACATTTTCAAGCTCTCACGGGAAAGCGCGTGAATGGTGAATAATTGACGCGATTTTTCAGCGGCTTACGTGCCGGCGGCGTAAGATTGTCTTTTGTTCCTTGGTTTTCATCGTCTACGAACGTGATCTCGACCCGGGGACATTTTTAACAATCAAGCGACGAAGAGGCGGCCTTTACCTGTGGATATATAAGAGTTTTCATTGAATATGTCAACACTCGCAATGACATCGTCGAAGAGGGCGAAGGTGACGTTTGTAGTAGCTGCAATTGTTACTTGTTTCGGCTGCCTTGCGACACCTTTGCAAGATGACCGCTTGGAGATGGCTTTGGATCGTGTACTAGGGTATATTCTGGAGCATAACGAGCATATTAACGTGGACGGACTCTTCGGGGTAGTTTTTGCTCAAGGTGAATTAAATATTGGAATTATTTCGCTGCGTTTTCGAGTTTTAAACTTTTTGTAGTACATCTGGACGCCGTGCTGAAGAATAAGTTATCTCCGAATGAACGTGTTCGTCTGCAAAAGCTTAAAAACAAAGCAGACCTTATCTACGCCGTCATCAAACCGCATCTATACAATGGCGATCAGAACCAAATCACTTGTAAGGTAGCATTAGTTTATTTTATAATATTATTTTTAATATATTTTTGTATCTCGAATGAAGTTGTGGAAGAAATAGTTGATACGGATTTGTGGCACCGAGATATTGACTTTCGTCGTGGACTGGTAACACCAATGCCGCCGAAAACAACCAGATTTAGTTTTGACACTTATGACGAGTACATAGCCTATCTCAGCTCCAGTAACATGTCCGAAACCCAATCGGATGAATGCATGCTGCAACTTATTGCGAGCGGTTCGCGCACCTACCTTCACGAATGTCATCTCAGCAGAAATTGCCGCCATCGTATGGTGGATGATCCACACTACGACCCTACTTACGGTATCACACATAGGTGACTTAGAAGATTATTTATTTAATGGTTACCGCCAAAACTGTAATTTTGATTCTGTTTTAGATTATTGTATCTTCAAATTGGTCGTGCCAGATTATGCGCGATGAATTCTCAGTGGTATCGAATGCAGACCAGAAATTATTGCTCGTATATTCTTTGGGAGGCAGCGAAGAATGCAAATTTTGGTTTCCTTGATGAATTGGACGACGTCTTGTTTGAGCAGAGTAAATGAAACATTTTTGTTTTATTATTTACGGTAATTAATTTCTTCTGTTTTTGTTTAGTGACGCTGTGCGGTTATGAAGGTTTTGCGGAGTTTCTTGCTCCCGAATATGTGGAGCACGTGCTTGACGCACAGACGGCACACGGTTGTTATGGCATCCCAGCGCTCCAGCGCAGCGGCAGCGTGGAGGCGGCGCGTGTCCGTCGTAGTGCCAATCTCATTACATATGGTTGCAACGACCACACCACAGGTCTAGGCGCATCTACGCTCGCACTTGCTTTGCGATTTCAAAAAATGCAACAAAATATTTCAACAGTATATTAATGAAATATAAAAAATATATCAATTAACAGTACGTCATAATAATAAATAATTACAAATTATACTCATATACTTAAGGTTTTCTTAATTTACCATAGGCAACCATATATACACAAACGTAAAAGTTATATACAGAGAACATTTTGGCTCCTACAAAAGTGTTTAATTTTAGTATTAATGATTTTTTGTTTGATTTTTAACTCTCCTATTGTTAAGTTATCAATTATATAGATATGAATTCTATAGAAATAAGCATCGCTCTGCGCGTGCGTCACCTTTGTTGGTTGCTTGAGGGCAAGGAGGTCTCCTGAGCGGCCGCCGCCGCCTCCGCCACTACCGGTGGTAATCGATAAAGCTGTGTGCCCGCACGCACTCGTCCAGCGTACGTCGACCGGTTAGGCGCGAAACCGCCGCGCACCTAACCGCCCCCAACGCTAAACAAACTATAAACCATTGATAAATCGTGAATTAAAGACCAAAATCATTAGAATAATGTGAAACCTCAAAAGATAAAGACAAAGCAAGCACGATGTGGAGCTTGGTGTTAGTGCTCGCGCTTGGGCTGCTTGTTGGGGGCGGCGCGCCGCAGAAACCTAACACGGATGCTCGGCGTCACGACGTATACATCGCTGGTTTCTTTCCCTATGGGAAAGGCGTCGAGAACTCTGACACTGGTAAATCTTGATAATTAGCATCAACTGCTATGGTATTATTGTGATGATTACATTAAAAAATGTTGATTTTTTAGGTCGCGGAGTAATGCCAAGCGTCAAACTGGCCTTGGATCACGTCAACGAACATTCGTCGATATTGCGAAATTACCGCCTTCATATGTGGTGGAATGATACAATGGTAATACTAACTGTTTCTTCAAGTAGATGTCGTTGTTTATTACATAACCACAATTAACCTCAACATTGTTGATGTCGTAGTCGGGAAGACAGTTGCGGCGGATTGAGTTTTCGAAAAAGTCCGTTCACTGCCTGTCCAACCACGTCATTAATTCGTATCAACAACTATGATAAATTCAATTGTTTAAATATTCTGAAACGTAAATGTTAACTGCTTTGATTTTTACAGTGCAATGCTGCTGTGGGTGTGAAAGCATTCTTTGACATGATGCACAGTGGTCCACACAAACTGATGCTGTTTGGTGCTGCGTGCACCCACGTTACTGACCCCATTGCTAAAGCCTCCAAGCACTGGCACCTTACTCAACTTTCCTATGCTGACACGCATCCCATGTTTACCAAAGAAAACTTTCCGAACTTTTTCCGTATCGTGCCCAGTGAAAATGCATTCAACTCTCCTCGCCTTTCTTTACTGCGTGAATTCAATTGGACTCGCGTGGGAACAATCTATCAGAATGAACCACGATATTCTTTGGCTCACAATAGGTTGGTATCTATAATACTTGTCTTCTTCTCGCAATTACAATTGGATTGAATTGTTTTAGATTGGTAGCAGAATTGGATGCTCTTAGTTATCAAGTGGTAGAAACCCAAAGTTTCACCAACGAAGTAAGCGGAGCATTAGCTAAACTCAAGGAAAAAGATACACGTGTAATCCTTGGAAACTTTGACGAGTACTGGGCACGCGTCATCTTCTGCGAGGCATACCGAATGGAGATGTATGGTAGGCGCTATCAGTGGATAATTATGGGCACCTATGCAAGTGAATGGTGGACCAAAGTATCACCGGATTCAAACTGCACGGTGGATGAAATGACTGCTGCTTTAGAACAGACAATTTTGACCGATTTGCTACCTCTTAGTACCAGTGGGGAGATTACCATTTCTGGCATTGTTGGTATAAGCGAACTTAATTTTATAACCTTTATAAACTTTTATTTTTCAGACCGCAGATGAATATCATGTGGAATACAACTCAAGACGCGGTTTGGAATATTCTCGTTTTCATGGGTACACATACGACGGTATTTGGGCTGTAGCACTTGCAATTCAGAATGTTGCACATAAAATTCGTTACTTCCGGAGAAATCAAACAGTGATCGACTTCAAGTATCGTGACCCTTTGTGGGAACGGCTCTTTTTGGATGCATTGCATAATACTAGTTTTGAGGGTGTTACTGGTCCTGTCCGCTTCTACGATAACGAGCGCAAAGCAAGCATTCTTCTTAAACAATTTCAGGAAGGAAAGGAGATCAAAGTAGGAGAATATAGTGCAGCCACTCAACATTTGGATCTTACGCTTGGTGCACCGATGAGATGGATTGGAAAGTAAGATCTGTGTATCTTTAAAAATTGTAGTTATATTTTAATTTGATAATTTTAGACATCCCCCAAAAGATCGTACATTACTGATTATCGAACACACTCGTGTCAACAAGACTGCTTACGCCATTTTCGCGTCGCTTGCGTGTTGCGGCATTGTAATGGCGTCGGTATTTCTTGCGTTCAACATTAAATATCGCAATCAGCGGTATATCAAGATGTCTAGTCCTCATCTCAACAATTTGATCATCATTGGTTGTATGCTTACTTACACGAGTATTGTGTTTCTTGGTCTTGATTCGGGACTTTCCAGTGTTGGTATGTCTTCAGTTTTTGGTAAAATATATAGAAATAACTGATGAATTTATATTTTCAGATGCATTTCCATACATTTGCACCGCACGTGCTTGGACATTAATGGCAGGCTTCTCCTTGGCGTTTGGTGCGATGTTTAGCAAGACTTGGCGTGTGCATTCTATCTTCACTGATGTGAAACTCAACAAGAAGGTGATCAAAGATTACCAGCTTTTTATGGTAGTTGGAGTGTTGCTTGCTATTGATTTGGTCATTATGACAACGTGGCAAATCTCGGATCCTTTCTATCGCGAAACTAAGCAATTGGAACCTTATGTAAGTGTCAATCTATATTATTTAATGCATTAAATAATCTGAATATTTGTAGCCACATCCATCAAGTGAGGACATTGTCATCATACCGGAAAACGAATATTGTGCTTCAGATAAAATGACTATTTTCGTGTGCTCGATTTATGCATACAAAGGTTTGCTCATGGTAATTTCTATAATAATTAAATTTTACTTCAATCAAAATAATTTCTATTTTTGCCTAGATTTTTGGTGCATTCTTAGCATGGGAAACGCGTCATGTATCCATACCAGCATTAAACGACAGTCGCCATGTGGGAATGAGTGTTTACAACGTGGCAATTATGTGCATTTGCGGCGCTGCCGTTGCACTAGTACTCGCTGACCACCAGGACGCCATGTTTTTGATTATTGCTGTATTTGTTATGTTTTGCACCACAGCAACTTTATGGTTGGTGTTTGTTCCCAAAATGGTCGAATTAAAACGGAATCCGGCAGGTTCCATTGACCAACGCTGTAGGGCAACCTTACGCCCAATGGGATCAAAAACTCGCCGAGATTCTAGCGCCTCCGAAATGGAATCCAAAATGAAAGAAGTGAAAGCAAACAACTCAAGATATAGGAAAACACTATTGGAGCGCGAGGGTGAATTACAAGCACTCATTCGACGACTGGGCAATGAAGCACGTGAATTACTTGATTGTGCCACTGGGGCTAGTGCTATTACCGGGGCCAGCAGTGTGGGAGGCGGTAGCGTGGGTGGCGTAAGTGTAGGTGGTGACGGCAATCGCTTGTCTGTACCACTTCTGCGTAAAGATGCCCCATCCGCGACTGAAACCAGTGAAATTACCTCATTGTGTAGCATTAGCTCACAAGAGCAGTTCCATTCGCTGCAACGTGGAGAAAGTCAAAGCCGGCGTCGAAGAGCAGACTCTAAACCTGATTTAAATGGCGGTGGATCAATGGGTCAAAGCTTAAGTCGTGCTAGTTCTGGTGGGTTAGTGCAAAATGGTCACAGAAGAGAAAGTGTTGGTCTTGAAGAACCCCTCGTCAAAGAAGAACCAATACAACCACAACCTATACCAAGCAGACGCACTCCCGAGCTACACAAAGCGCAAACCTTCGATGTCGAACACTCCACATGTCATCGCGAGCTCCGACGCATGAGTACAAAAGGCGACTCCATGCCGCGGCGCTGTAGCCTAAAGAGCACCCCACAACATGAGAAACACCCCGTTCAAGAAGTAACCGGTAGTAGTACGACTTGTGGGCGAAGAATGAGTACACCTAAACGTAAACCTGATCATGGCACTCATGTGGTAGCTAAGAGTGAGCTTTGGGACACCGGTAACCAGCACACCCACACACATACACACAGTCTTTGTCGATGCAGCTCTAAGTCACATCAACGTGCCTCTCGTGTCAGTATTTCTACAGACGAGGAGGACGCCCCGACACATCACCGTTCTGTGTCGGAACGTACCCGACACGCACCTGCAGTAGCGCCTGCTAAACGTGGAAGTGCTGGAGGTGGTGTGGAGGTGGATCGTAGTCCAAAGAAGGACGCTAAATTAGCACACTTTCAGAGCACTCCGAATGTGAACAGTGCCACATTACGGCCAAAGGGGTCTGCAAAACATCGACACACCCGTGACATCTATAACGCCACATCTGAGAGCGAATTGCTCGATCGCGAGATACTGCCCATCTTTCAAAAGCTGCTCACCGAACGCAACAAGAGTCAGCACAATATTGATTATTCTTTCGGTAGGTCCTGTCCGAACATTTCAATCAAGTGCGATATTGTCGAATACCTCTAAGGCCTTCTTAATACATGTATGTCACTATAACGTCAATTTCGGAAGAGGTTGCATGAGGCAATCCCTTGAAAATTGACTAAAATACTCTCACCGAAACACACTCACTCAAAGACACAGTCAAACGCCAATGACACACACACTAATAGACTGTCTAAACTTGTAAGCGAAACAAAAAGACATAGACGACATAGACGATCGCATTTTATCGCAACATTAAAGTTCGTCACACGGCGGATTTCGTTCAATCGTTCAATTGACCATGTCTCTTACGGGGTAAACAGTTACGACAACGCGTATCTAAACCAAATAAATACTGATTGTGTTATCGCAACTTTAAATTCTCATTACATCTAGTTGTTCATGCTGTCCTCTTCAGTCACGCAACTACTGTTATATTATAAAACATACTTAAATGTGGTTTATTCACGCATACCATTGTTCTAATATTGTGTTGTTAATTGATTATTACATTGTTATATTCACCGAAAATAAGTATTTGTTATTACACCTTTAGGGATATTTCGTTGAAAGGCTGTTAGTTGATTATGTCTGTACAAAAGAAATATATACAACTATGTCGGTGTCAATTTGTGTTTATAGTTAGTATATTTAAATCCTACCGTTCGTTTTTGCATCATATTTTTGATTATATGTTTCATTCGTGCATAGTTAATGAAGAATTATTTCTAGATTCGTATTACTAGGGCCCTCTAGTAGCGACTAACAAAAAGTCGTGTTGATTAAGATGAAAGGATTCTCGTCGTTTCGACGTCCTCTCTTCTCAGCCGTTAATATTCACCGTGCGTAGTTTCACACCGTATATGCAACAACGCCACACACACACATGCATCTATATTGGTGCACAAGTGTGTGTGAACCGGAGCAAGAGTTGTGATTCGAACAGAAAGCTGAGGCATTAATTTTCAGAAATGCTGAACTTGCTAATATGGGCATTGTGTTTCATATTAGTGTAATTTTGCGACGATAAGCGATATGCATGGAATGTTTGCTTAGCATAATCACGTATTCAGTAGTCTTGTCGATTTTTAAACTCTAGAATTGACTGCCGGTGAATGTTACAGATATATGTTTTTCTTTGAAAATTCCAAATCGGTGGGTCAAAATTTGCCAAATATGTATACCTATCTTATTTCACCTCGGAACATAGTGGGATGCCTACAGTGTACGTGGAATCAAGGTCAATAAGGTGACGCACAGTCGCTGCAAGCCCCCCTCTATTCGACAAAATGCGTTGTGCGGCTTCGTGCTAGATTCCAGTTTACGCGCGGCACGTCGGCAGTTTATCGCTGGCTGTTGGTTAGGTTGCTTCGATCTATTGTGAACGAATAAAGAAACGGTTGATGCACAAGTGAAACATTCTCAATAAAACAACTCTTTTAAATAAAACTCGCACAATATAAATTGCCATGAACTAAACGTGCAGCAACAGCACACATTATCACAATACGTTACAACGAATTAATTTACATATAATACCAGTGAACCCGTTAAAAAAAACCTTAAATGTATCACAAAACGATACAAATATTAAATCCAAAAATGGAAATCAGTGCCTACGTTAATAAATTAAAAATTAATCAAAAATTAAATGTAATACCACTGCAAAGCAGCCCGAGATATTTTTGTTGTAGAGTAATATTACTTGAAATCCCAATGTAACGTACGTGTGACTGATTCTTGGTTGTGTGTATTGTCCAGCGGTAACTCGTTATGGAACAACTGTGCTGGCGGGCATGCATGTTCCTATGCGTCACCTGCCAACGACTTCGGGTGGGGCCGAGGCTCGTTAATTCCTTCTCTCTCTTTCTCTCTCGTTCGATTGCTTGGCAGTTCAGCCGAATTAGTTGTTTTGTCTCCATCTAGTAAATTGGCTGCAATGCCAGATGGTGCAACGGCCAATACGAGCCATTTTTTGATCGTATCTCAACAAGCAGTAGGGAAATAATGAATATTTCTACCTGGTGCCTTATAAAAAAATCCCCCTTGCCCAGCCGTAACGGCCATAATCCATAAACGGTCATAAATTGTTTTTGTTCATCATTTAGTAGTGGAACATTATGCGGGCGTAGCCGCCAATTCGGCCGTCTTCGGCAGTTCACAATTTATATCTGTGTAGGAATATTGTTACAAATGAATATATCTGGACTAGGTAGTTATTAATGTCTTTTTTACAAAATTTATTGTCAATACTCATTTCAGTCCATTTATCTGGCCAGCTATCGTTCAAATTTTTATCTAAACTGGTTGTCATGTAACAGGCACGAACATATTCTGATTTGTAGATGTAGTAAACGGTTGGGTTCTTAGAAATGAAAAATACTTATCAGTTGATATTAGTGAACAATCATCATGAATGTGGTTTAGGATTTATCACGAGTTGATGTGTGGTAAAAGACTAAATAGGTTATAGAAATTATTTGCTTTACCACATAAAGTAGAAGTGGCGCTCAAAGCTAATATTGTGAATGTCATCATCCACTTGGTGCTCTTTTTTCATCATCACGAAGTTTAAACTTTTATTCTGGCTGAAATGGTAACAATTTTGATTTTCACATTTAAATGATATTGTTTGAGCATAAAAAATTTGGTTTCAAATAAGCATGATTTGTAATGTTAAACAAAACAATATGAAAATTACAACATTTTCTTTATACCTTTAACTTTTAAATTGGAATATATTCTCTTTTAAACGGTTAACATTATGTTGGCATACATTTTGGCTTTTAAACCCTGGCTTTCCACTACCTCAAAGTACTCTTCACCATATTGGTCTTTAAAAGCCATACACTGTTACATATCATTTCCAATTTTATTCCCTTGAATCAGTTACAGAAATGTGCTCTCCACAAAGTATGCGAGCTCTTAAATTATAAGTGTCCGTAAGCATAAATAAAATAAATATATCAATAAAATAAAACCATAATGAAGCCACGGTGACACCAAAAATAAACATTTGACTACATGCCGCGTTCTCCGTTGGTCTTCGCGCGGGTCCCTGGTCTTATGGCCTCATGATTTGCTTAGAGTTGGTTTGATTTGGGGTTTGGTTGCATTTTCTCTTTTCTTGGAAACCTCTGGCTGGTAGTGCACGTGGGGCTGGTGCGCCTTAGGGAAATACTACCGGTCCAATCAAAATACTAACAGGGTTTCTAACTAAGTTTGGTCATTTGCCAGAAGGTGGCACGTTTGTTGACTTCCCCGGGTGACATTAACTTTGCTGATCTGCCCAGAACTTATTGTCCGTTTTCACAAGGTTTGATCCAGGGGGTTTTAGTTGATGCCGGGTTTCGGGTTGGTTCTGACGCTTTAACCACCTGAATCGCACGGCTTTTAGCCTGTCTAGCTTCGATTTTATGTTTGGTTGTTGCTTTAACGCCTGGTTGTTACATATGCTTGTTTGCCACGCGACACTGTTTCGTTGGTTGATCTCATGGCAAATTTAGCCACGTTACGTTAGCAGGTTGCTCCAAGTACTTCGTATTTTTGACGGCGATCGGTGATTTTGGCGTTTGGATGGCTTTGCGAAACCCCAAGTTGGAAACTCCGGTCCCTGTGGTTTAATAACGGCTTATAAATGGAAATTTTGTTCTCCAGTTGCTTAACGCGGTTGCTTGCGGGTGTAATAGACTTTCCTGGTAAGGCGATAATGATGTTGGTTCCCTCTTTATTTATGTTGCTCCCTCCAGGTGGGTCTGTCCAGAATAAATTCAAAATCTTCACAGTTTCGGGGTATTTTATTGTTTATGATGTCGGTTATACAGGAGTTTCTTTTCAGAAATATTTATTTGTTGTCGATTACGCCTTCATTTGGTTTATACTTTATTCCCGAACACCATGCGCTTATTTGATTTCATGTTGTTGTTTTGTATGTTTGCCAGCACTTTGTGAATATTTTGATCACTGTTACAATATAAGCAGTTGATCACATCGATAAAAGTTGTTTGTTGGGTGTCTTATTATCGTTGTTGAGAATCGCGGCGAAAACGCGAAATTTTATAAAATTGAGTTCCAATTTACACTTCTTGCGGAACCTGCGCTGGATGGGTTAGATGAATTTTGATTTCGTTCTGTGTGGATACGGAACGTTGCGATCGTTAAATAACTAGTTTATAGTTTGATAACAACGGTGGGTGTTTAATTTGGTAAAGTCCGTTTGTGGTTTTACTTTGATACGCTTGGGCGACGTCCAGAATATGCCAGTTACGCTCTTTGTTTCGTGCCCCTCTGAATTTCAGCAGCAAATTTGTTGAAACTTGTTCAATTGTGCGTTAACTCTCTGAAGCCAAACTGATGTTGGCGGGATTGGCGCTTTCAATTTTTAAGTCTTTCTTTGGTGTATGGAAAGTGGTTTTCATTTATAGTTTTGGATATAATAGGCCTTAGACTAGTGATTCTATAGGAACTTTGATGCGTAGGATCACACCTTTAGCGGTTTTCGTTAGCCACTTTGGCGTTTCCATGCTGCTCGGTACGTAAACCCCAAGACGGTTGGTGCGTTCCTTCGCGCAGTAGGTATATGACCTTCTAACGGTAAAATTGTCAGCACCATAATGCTATCGGGACTGGGGCTTTTATGTAGCCAGTGAGTTAATTTGGTTGGTAATGGTTCCTTTACGTTACCGCGCTTTGTATAAAGTCCGTTTTGTTTAAGAAGACATTGTTGATTGCTGCGCTGGGGACTTCAAGCGAATGTGGTTCATCTTATCTTCAAAAGTAGTTTGCGGAAATTCTTCCCTTTTACTTTTGTCGTTAATTCACCCACGCCTGCTACTGTTCACCAATGCGATTTGGTTGGTTTGCCAAGTAAGGGTTTCGAGTTTGACCGTTTTCAAACTGGGTAACTGAGTCTGAATGGGTACGTTAAATGGGAAAGGTGTTTTGAACTATGCAAGCAGAATAAAATCCCTAAGAACTCAATTTCTGAGAATTGCCGAAAGAGATGATCAAACAATAGAAACGATTTGTGTAAATGGGTTTAAAAGAGGGCTATTAAATTTTAAAATACAAAACCAGCAATGCGTTTTGTATTTTGTATTTATTGCGAGATTGGTCTTACACAAGGTGGAAGAATTAATTATTTTAATAAATTAAATTGTAATATTTGTGGGAGAAATAATCATAGTACAAACCAATGCAGGTTTCAGAGAAATCACATAAAATGCGAAATTTGTAATAGAAATAACCACCAAACCCATCAATGTAGGTTTAATAGAAACCATCAAAGTTTTACACAAAGTATTAATTATGGACAAGGGCCAAGTAACCAAAATAATTATGGAAATAGACAAAATACGTTTAGACACCAAAACAACTTCAGTCAAAGTAACAACAATAATTATCAGAGAAATTATCAAACCGTCGGACAAAACAATAATCAGGGAAGTAATCAAAGGAATCCGGGAAACGAGGACTCTCCAACTGTGCAGGTCAGTTCGGAGAACAACCAATAAACCCTGTATTAAAAGGCAGTACACAGATTGAGGGTGATAGTATTTTAAATGATAATATTGGGAACATAATCAAATAGTTGACAAACAAAATATAACGCAAGAAGAGCAAACTAATA